TGAAGGGCGGGGCATAAATCCAATCTCTTCTTCTATAACAAGGTGAAGGTTGTGAATAGGGTGTGCCGGGAAGGCAGTGACCCCCATAGGACTGTTACGTACTCTGTCAGCGAAAAGTAATTGAGTGTTGAGTGAAGATGGGGCAGAGTTGTTTTCTGCTGCCCCAGAAGGTCAGACCAGAACCAATCAGAAGAGTTTTCGGCTAAACATGAGGAAGAGCTTCCTGCCAGTTAGAGCGAGAGCGGTTCCTCGGTGGGACAACAGGCTTCCTCGGGAGGTGGTGGGCTCTCCTTCTTTGGGGGTCTCTAAGCAGAGGCCAGATGGCCATCTGAAAGCAATGCTGATTCTGTGACTCAGTATGAATGGAGGCAGTTCTTCAGAGGGAGGGCTGGCAGGAAGGGATGAGCCAGTGCTCGGCTCTTGTGACCTTTTCTTATATTCCCAGGGTAATGCCAATCACCTCTTCGCGATCAGGAAGAATGTAATGTATTCTATGTGAGGCCAACTGAATACATGTGTTATTGTGAACCTTCCCATTGAAACCTAATGTTAAGCTTCATCCTGGGCTAGGATCCAAAGACATCCTATCAGAAGACTAGCCCAGGAAACTGCGTCCAATCACTTCACTGCTAGCTCCCTGAGTGGGAACGTTCGTGATTGGTCATAGTTTCAACCTCATTGGTTGGTTATGTGTACAGTGGGTGTGGCTATATTAGCCGGGAATGTTTAAAAGCAGGACAGCTGCAATGTTAAAGCTGTTCTGGCTATCAGATGTTGATCTGTGTTAGAGTTGTGTGCGTTCTGAAGAATAAAGTTGTGTTCTTGCTGAATCACTCTCTGACTGCTTTGTTAAGTAAGCGACTTAACAAAGAAATTCCCCTTCAGGCCACATGGGCCCAGGGATTCTGCAGGCGTTTTTGCTTTTCTTGGGCAGATTGTGAGAGGGAGGGCAGGAAGGGTTGCATGAGTCCTTAGTTCTGGTGGCTCTTTTTCTTACACGCCCAGGGAAATGCTGATCACCTCTTTGGGGTCAGGCAGCAATTTTTCTCCAGGCCAGTTTGGCAAGGGATCCTGGAGTTTTTTGTTGTTGTTTTTTTGTCATCTTCTGGGCGTGGAGCAGAGGTCACTGGGTGTGTGGAGGGGGAGGTATTTGTGAATTTTCTGCACTGTACAGGGGGTTGGCCTACATGACCCTGGAGGTCCCTTCCAACTCTATGATTCCATGATTCCTCTGTGCACAGAGCAGGGGGCACTGGGGGAGTAGGGGGGGCAGAGGTAGCTGTGAATGTCCTGCATTGTGCAGGGGGTTAAACTAGATGACCCTTGGGGTCCCTTCCAACTAGGATTGCCAGGACGTTTTGAGATGCCGGCGGGGGGATGGGGGGAAGATGCTCCGGGAGCTGGGAGCTTCACCTCCGACATGCTGATCTCACTGGAAGTGACATCTCGTACCATGCCTATATCACCCGAAAGTTACATAGGCACGTCGGGGGCGATGCTGTGGTTTTTGGGGAAAGCTCTATGGTACTTCCAGTTCTATGTTTCTACATTGTGGGGAAGTTTCATTTCTCCTATTCAGTGGTCATTTCCTGCAGGAGCACACAGGAGCGGAGCTCCGACAGTAAAGAGCCCAGGGGGCGGGCACATGCAACAAGCCCCACCCCCTGTTCCCAGCAGCCCTCAGTCAGAGCAAGTAGCAGCCAGGTAGGTTGCAGAGCCCCCCCCGCCCCCCGGTCCAAAACAGTCCAGTGGCACCTTTAAGACCAAGTGTTATTCAGGTACAGACTCTCCCTCCTCTGTGAGGAAAGATCTGCACGTTCCCCCCGCCCCCCAATAGCTAGGAATCCAAAACAGTCCAGTGGAGCCTGAGCGGTAGGTTTGGCCTTCTGACACACTTCCGGTGATGTCAAGGGTTGTGGCATATGTAAATAAGTTATGCTAATGAGTTATGCTAATGAACTCCTGCACCTCTTTTTTTACAAAATGACCCCTGCTCCTATTTAATTTCTGAACATTTCTTTCCGTTTTCAGCCCTCTTAGGCAAATGGTGAGAACGGTTTCATCTAGGTTGCCATGGTATTCTGCATAAATCTCACTACTGCTTAAAATCCGGGGGTTTAGGATAGCTTGGACCTCGATTCCCTAAATATTCCTCTGGGCTGCCAGAGTTGGGAAACGTCCACAAAAACAAGGCTTCTCTTCCGGGGCAGAGGGCTTATGAATCTCTCTCCAAAGGCCAAACTTAGAGAAGTTCCCTAGCTTGGCTTGTGAAGTGGTTTCTACCGCCGGCTAGTCTGGGGAGAGCCACGAGGGTACGCAGATCGGGCAGAGGGGCATACTGAGTCTGGAGAAATTAATCGGTTGAAAGGAAAACTGTGTGCCAGCCTTAGAGAAAATTAATTAACTCCCCCTGGGTGGAGGTGAGTCAGTAATGTTTCATGCTTTTAGGAATTGGCCTACATAGGAAGGAAACTAAAACCCTTACAACACCATTTGGCAGACAGGAGCATTTCTCATCCAGTTTGTTAATTTTGAATACAGCAGAATTTAGTACGGTGCTTTGATTTTAGAAGCTAAGGACCTAGGGTTGCCAGGTCTTCCCAGAAACTGGCACTATATGGGGGAGGCTTACCAGGAGCAAAAGGGAGACCCAGGCAAAGTCGCCATTGATGTGGTGACATCAGTTTCGGTGTGTACTGGAAGTGATGCCATCGCACTGTGCTGTCAGGGTGACGCTCTGCTGCTTGTGCAAAAAGTCTGCAGTGAAAATGACTTCTACCATAGAGTCTTTGCCCAGATAGCAGAGTGTTGCCCAAGAGGTTATGTCACTTCTGGTGCTCTCAAAATATTAAAATTATTAACATTGAAGCAGTAGTTAAAAATAACTCACAAGTATACCGTTATACTAACACATATTGACTAACATGTAGATTAACACGGAAATGATCTCCTACTCTTGGAATTTTAGTTAGTGTGGGTATCTTTTCTTTATCCCTAGTTGTAGTCCCCCTTCCTATATTTTCTGTTGTAGTTATGTAGTCTGTTAAAAAACCAATAAAATTACCCTCTTGGGGGTTTCAAAAAAAAAGAAGAAGTGATGTCATCTCATCACCGGTGATATAGCCAGGGCCTCCCCCTCTCTCCTGGTAAGTCCCCCTGCCCTCTTTCTCCTGGTAAGTTCTGCTGCCAGCCAGCGGATCAGCAGTGGGGGCTGGGGCCTGGTGGTGGAGGCTCCCTTCCTCCACCAGGGGTGGCTAGCAACCAGTTTGGTGTAGTGGTTAAGTGCATGGACTCTAGTCTGGGAGAACCAGGTTTGATTCCCCGCTCCTCTACTTGCAGCTGCTGGTGTGACCTTGGGTCACTCATAAATTCTTTCAGAGCTGTTCTCTCAGGGGCAGTTCTTGCAAGAGCTCTCTCAGCCCCACCTACCTCACAGGGTGTCTGTTGTGGGGAGGGGAAGGGAAAGGAGTTTGTAAACTGCTCTGAGACTCCAAGTGAAGGGCGGGGTATAAATCCAATCTCCTCCTCCTCCTCTTGCTATTTAGGCTGAGCTCAGGTTCCCAGGCTCTGTCCTGGATGGCACAGGCTAGACTGATCTCATCAGATCTTGGAAGCCAAGCAGGGTCGACCCTGATTAGTATTTGGATGGGAGACCACCAAGGAAGTCCAAAGTTGCTCTGCAGAGGCAGGCAATGGCAAACCGTCTCTGTTTATCTCGTGCCTTGTAAAACCCTACAGTATCACCATACATTGGCCTCAACATGATTACACTTTCCACACCAGGCTTCTGAATTTTTCAAAAAGTTTACAGCCCTATTGGTCCGTTCAAAATCCAAAAAAGGAGAACAAACTCTGCATGATACTTTTTATTAGGACCAACCAAACTGACCTAAAGCATTTTTTTGTTGGTTCTAATAAAAATGACTGCACAGATTCCATTCTTGGTTTCGGATACTGAAATTCAAGTCTGCTTTTGGGGAGCTCTCCCTGGTCCTGAAGAACTTAACTTCTAATACTATCCTGATCTGGTTCCCGGGAACCAGTCTCTCTTGCCTGTTCTTTTGGTATCATGGGGCACCCTCCTTATCTTTTATGGTGGCTGTCTCCTTTGCTACTTGTTTGAAAGCTACAAGGATGTGGTTCGAGGAGCTCCTTGCAAGTCTCATCCCAGAATTCAAATACTGTTGTTGCTTCTTTTCCTGGGACTAGTAAACATTAGAAAGAACTTCCTGCCAGTTAGAGCGGGTCCTTGGTGGAACAGGCTTCCTTGGGAGGCGGTGGGCTCTCCTTCTTTGGAGGTTTTTAAGCAGAGGCTAGATGGCCATCTGACAGCAATGCTGATCCTGTGAGCTTGGGCAGATCAGGAGAGGAAGGGCAGGAAGGGTTGCCTCAGTGCTTAAGGTTGTGGCCCTTTCTTACATGCCCAGGGAAATGCCGATTGCCACTTTGGGGTCAGGATTCAATGTTCCCTCTAAGCTGTGGTGTCTTGTGAGCAAAAATTCTACTTTGTGAGCTACTGGCAATAAAGTTGTGAGCGAGCAATTTGGCTACTGCGTTAATAGTGTGTGTGTGTGGGGGGGGAAGGTATTTGTGAATTTCCTGCCTTGTGCAGTGGGTTGCAGTGGGTTGGACGAGGTGACCCTGGAGGTCCCTTCCAACTCTATGATTCTCTGATTCTAGTATTAAATTAATCCAGCTCCAGCTGAGTCATATTCAGATTTCACTCAGTGCTCCCATGGAACTGGGTTGTATTGAATGACAGTCTTTGGGCAATGTCAGCAGCAAGTAGCAAGCAAGTCTTCCTATGTGTTCCCTTTTGCAAAAGGAGCACAACTACCCATGAATCAATGGCCATATGTGCAAGTGTGCATGAAAGTGCCTGATGCTGAATCAGGCCTTTGGTCTATCCAAGATCAGTACTTTATACTCAGACTAGCAGTGGGTCTCTAGAGTCTTAGGCCGAAGTCTTTCTCATCACCTACTGCCCGGTCCTTTTTAATTGGAGATGCCAGGGATTGAACCTGGGACCTTCTGCGTGTCAAGCAGAGGCTCTACCACTGGAGCCACAGCCCCTCCCCCAGTTTTTTTGGGCCATGCGGATTTGCATGCAGAACTGAAGAAGCAGGTTCTTGGACCATGCATTCTTTTAAGTATGCCGCTGAGCTCTTGTAGTTTTTTTGTTGTTTTATGGACGGGAATTCAAAGCACTTCACATTCTTTTAAGTTTGGTTGATGCCTACAGTGAAGAAGAAGAAGAAGAAGAAGAAGAGATTGGATTTATACCCCGCCCTTCACTACCCAAGGGAGTCTCAGAGCGGCTTACAAACTCCTTTCCCTTCCCCTCCCCACAGCAGACACCCTGTGAGGTGGGTGGGGCTGAGAGAACTCTGACACAAACTGCTCTTTTTCAAGGACAGCTGTGCCAGAGCTTGTGACTGACCCAAGGTCACATCAGCAGGTGCAAGTGGAGGAGTGGGGAATCAAACCCGGTTCTCCCAGATTAGAGTCCGCGCACTTAACCACTACACTAAAAAGGTGATAGAGTCCTAATAATGTACACTGGGTGAAAGGTGTGTGATGGCATTTTTGAAAATTCCCGTATGTGTGAGTGTGTCTTTCATGGTTTATTTCATCCTTCCTCCATGTGATGTACATTTTTTTTAAAACCTCTGTTCCATCTTATCCTTGCAACAAGTCTGTGAGGTAGGTTATGGTGAAAGAAACACACGAGTGATTAAAATGTGGAATTCACTGCTACAGGATATAATGATGGCCACAGGTACAGAGAGCTTTAAAGGGGGATTAGAGAGATTAAAGGAGGATAAGTCTATCAATGGCTACTAGCCCTCATGACTAAAGGGAACCCCCATGTTCAGAGGCACTAAACCCCTGAATCCCAGAGCCAGGAGGCAGCATCAGGGGAAAGCCTCAGCCTCTATGCCAGGGGTGTCGAACTCATTTGTTATGAGGGCCGGATCTGACATCCATGAGACCTTGTTGGGCCGGGCCATGCGTGTCATAAAATGTAATGCCAGGTAGCGGAGATATAAACTTTATAAAGGACACAAACACAAAGGTGGGTTTTTTTTACTTAAAATAAAAACATGCTTAAAACATTCGCACTCTTGCAATATTTTGTTTATTTAACAGCGTCTGATAACTGACACCTCTTGCTCTGAATTATGGCATCAAAATGTCTGTGCTGTTGCAATCTTGACTCTGCTGTTCAGGTGTGTATCTGTAAACTGCAAACCTACCATGACGCAGCAGCAGCAGAACTGGAAGAAGAAGCAGAAGACAGCCAGTTCCACTGCGGGCCTGATAGAAGCCCCCCGGGGGCCTGATCTGGCCCCCAGGCTGCATGTTTGACACCCCTGCTCTATGCCCTGTTGTTGCCCCTCCAGAGGAATTGGTTGACTACTGTCTGAGACTGGCTGCTGGACTAAATAGAGGAAGGCTTTGGGGAGAGGAGGGTCTTCAATGGGGTGTCTTGCTGTCAAGGCACACACAGATCTATGCCCATTAATCCTCAGGTATCAGGGAGAGTGCCTTAAGTGAAGGGGGAAAACAAACAGTCACACTCCAGAGCCAGTTTCTCATTCCGTCCTGTCTCCACAAAGCATGAAAATTACCTTACGGAGACTGCCCAGGATCATGTTTACCTCCCAATCGAGTCAACCTCCTGCAGGAAATGATCGGATCAAGTATTCATGAGGACAAAGCTCATTTGCACTGCCTATGGAAAGATTCCGTTTCTCAACTCGGTTTCGACGCGGAGACGTGCCCAGTTTGATGGAGCCCAGATTACCAGCCTCCCTCCGGTGCCAGGTGCTTCTCATGAGCTCACTGTCTTGTGGTCGGCAGACCTCTCCATTATGCAAAACGGGACTTAAAGAGCCCCTCTAAACTACAATCAGTGTTTCTCTGGGATTGACAGTGAAGCCCCCCCCCTCTCCCCAAAGTCCTGTGCATATTTTAAAACTGGAATAATCCCAGGTGTAGATCTCGGCAATTGTTTTTTTTTTCCCCCAACCGTTTGCACGCCGTTGCTTTAATTAAAAGAAGTCTGGACTTTAATGGATTAATGGGCATAAATCGGTATGTGTCTTGACAGCAAAACCTTCAGCTCCGCAGTTTTCAGCCGGCTTTTCTCCACCAGTCACGGTAATCAGGATGCCGCTGCGCAAAGAGCATCGCACTTCCTGGAAGGATCCAGTCTGCTTTTATTATTGTTTTAATACAAAAGATGAAACCGCGCATCAATAATGAAAAATATATATTCAACATTCAATGAGTATGATCATCTCAACCTATATAAGCAAAGTAGTTTTTCAAAAATGCAATGTAATAGTTGGGAACTCAAAAATACATGGTCCAAATACGCAAACAGTGCTATTAATCCACCTTCAGAAATAGTCCAAGTCAAATTTGACCTACCAGTGAGAACAGTGGGAGAGGAAGAGGAGGGGATTGGATTCATACCCCGCCCTTCACTACCCAAAGGTGTCTCAGAGCGGCTTACAAACGCCTTTCCCTCCCCCTCCCCACAACAGACACCCTGTGAGGTAGGCGGGGCTGAGAGAGCTCTTGACAGAAACTGTTCTTTTTCAAGGACAGCTCTTATCAGAACTATGGCTTGCCCAAGGTCATCCAGCAGCTGCAGGTGGAGGAGTGGGGAATCAAACCCGGTTCTCCCAGATTATTTATTTATTTATTTATTTTTGGATTTATATCCCGCCCTCCCTGAAGGCTCAGGGCGGCTAACAACGAGGCACAAGTGCCAGAATTAAAACAGATAAAACAGTCTAAAACAATAAAATAATACAGTACAACAACAAAGTGTCAGTGCAAGATGGGGTAGAACTTCCTCGAATGGTATTGGTCCCACAACTTGTCGAATTAGAGTCCGTGCACTTAACCACTACACCAAACAGTGGTGTAAGTACACAAGCGGCAGGACGAGCTTTTTAAAGAGGAATTTTAAATATCTATATTTGGACTTTTCACTGTTAGAGGTATTTGACTTGGACTATTCCTGAAGGTGGATTAGTAGGACTGTTATGTGTATTAGGGGGGTTGTGGTGGCTCATAGGTTAAGACGCTGAGCTGCTCCATGCAGCTCAACATTTAGTCATGTCGGCCACATGACCATGGAAAAGTCTTCAGACAGCGCTGGCTCTTTGGCTTGGAAATGGAGATGAGCACCACCCCCTAGAGTCAGATTCGAATAGCTTTTGAGCAAGGGAAACCTTTACCTTTACCTTTGTGTATTTGGACCATGTATTTTTGAGTTTCTGACTATTATATTGCATTTTTGAAAACCTATATAAGTTTATACTACTCATTGAATGTTGAGGATATATTTTTCGTTATTTATTCACAGTTTGATCTTTTGTCTCTTTTGTATTATTTATTATTATTGTAGCAAATTTCTAGGCCACTGTGATGCTCCTTTCGTTCATGCAGTCTGTAAGCAAGGCAACAAAGCAAAACAAAAACATCCATATCGACCACTGGAATCTCGATAAAATAAATCGCAAGAAATCAAACCAAATCAGGAGACAGCACCAAAAATATATATCATGAAACTGATTTCTTAGGACCAGCAGTTAAAAACCATTGAAATAATTAAAAGGCACATGAGTCCATTAGAAGAGCAATATTCTATTCCAACAGCCCCTTAAAGACAGACATGATTTCCAGGGTATTATTATTTCAATTTACAAAACTTATATCCCACCTTTCTGCCCTCACAAGGGCCACCAAGGTACTTTCCGCATTTGGATCTCATCCCTGGTTTTATCAGACTTCAACTCGCGACACAATACCTTGCATTTATCCTTGGTTATAACAGCATCCGTTTATCCCGGGACAAGTGTGGGGCGAAACTGGGGTGACCTCAATGTAATATAGAAACAAAAAATGCCCCAAGATCATTACAGGGGTGAACTCGAGTGTAGGGTAGAATATAAGTTCGTGGACAGGGTTGAACCAGGATTTAAGGTCTAGTGCGGAAAGGACCCAAGGCAGTTAACATACATGCTTTTTTAAAAAAAATATTACACATTAAAACCATTAAAATCAACCCACTCACCCCCGAATGCACATAAGAAGCACCCCGCTGGATCAGACCAGTAGTCCATCTAATCCAGCGTCCTGTCTCACACATCACTAAAGCAAATTAAGAACAGAGTTAAAAGACATATAATGACACAAAAGCAGCAGTTAAAAGTTTGGTTAGGAAGGAGGGGTCACTGAAGGAATTTATTATTTATTTATTATTTATTGATTCAATTTGTATCCCGCCCTTCCAACATGGGCTCAGGGTGGCGAACATAGAAGCAAATGCCATACATAAAATAATAAAACAATAAACAATAATTACCTATAAAACGTGGCGCTGCGGTGGCTCAAGTGGTTAAGGCGCTGAACTGCAGGCTATGGAAGGTCGGTAGTTCAGGAGTTCGAGACCTGGGTGCCGCATGATGGAGTGAGCTCCCGTCTCTAGTTCCAGCTCCTGCCAACCTAGCAGTTCGAAAGCAAGAAATTGCAAGTAGATAAATAAGGACCACTTCGGTGGGAAGGTGACAGCATTCCGTGCGCCTTGGTGTTTAGTCATGCCGGCCACATGACCATGGAAACGTCTTCGGACAGCGCTGGCTCTTCAGCTTTGTAACGGAGATGAGCACCGCAACCCTAGAGTCGGATTCGACTGGCTTTCAAGCAAGGGAACCTTTACCTTTACCTATAAAACAGATAAAAGTCGGTGCTCAACAGACCATATCAATTCCATAATAAAATGCCAATAACAATAACACACTCGAGTAAACATAATCGTCTCTGCTCCCCATACCAGGGCCAGTGCGCCTCATGATGTTAATACGGTGGTGGTACAATAGTGGTGGCAGCCCCTACTCGAAAGCCTGGTGGAAGAGCTCCATCTTACAGGCCCTGCAGAACTCCATAAGGTCCCGCAGGGAGCTCGTTCCACCAGGTAGGGGCCACCACCGAAAAGGCCCTGGCCCTGGTTGCAGCATATTTAACTATCTTGGTGGCTGGGATAACCAACACAT